CAGGGGACAGCGTGAGGCCAGGGAGGAGGCCCAGGGGCCCGGCAGCTCCCTGGGGGCAGCGGGGACGAGCAGGAGGAGGGGGAGGCAGCCCCTTACCCCGTCCTTGGAGTTGACGGCGGCGCCGTGGTCGCAGAGCAGCTGGATGCTGGCGGAGCAGTCGGACATGGCTGGGGACAGAGCAGGACAGAGAGGTGACAGGGGCAGGGAGGGGACCTGTGCTGTGACAGCAGCCTGGGGAGGGCCCAGGCACAGCCCTGGGGGTGTGTGTTACACCAAAACCCCCACGGCTGGGCTGCAGGGCTCAGCTCTCACACCACCCACAGCAACCAGACACTGCTGTGCAGCACAGGGAGGATGCAGGAAAACACCCACAGCATCAAACACTGCTGTGCCAGACACTGCAGCACAGGGAGGCTGCAGGAAACCCAGAGCAAAGGCTCTTCACCCACCCCCAGCACTGCCCTAAAGCCCTGCTCATGATGCTCGAACATTCTACCCAACTTCACCTCTGTCGCAGACATCTTTTTATGAAAAACCCTTTCTTTAGGATTTTTCCTCCTGAGAAGCTGGGAGGCCTCAGGAACAAAATGTAAACAATGGTTATCTGCTGCTGTGGAATGCAGCAGGTGCATCTGGGATTGGGCTCATGTGGTTGTTTCTAATTAATGACCAATCACAGCCCAGCTGGCTCGGGCTCTCTGTCCGAGCCACAAACCTTTGTTATCATTCCTTGCTATTCTTAGCTTAGCCAGCCTTCTGATGAGAACCTTTTCTTCTATTATTTTAGTATAGTTTTAATGTAATATATACCATAAAATAATAAATCAGCCTTCTGAAACATGGAGTCAGATCCTCATCTCTTCCCTCAAATAAGACCCCTGTGAACACTGCCACACACCTCAGACCTCCAAGCTCTGCAACACTGTTCAGTTCATTATTGAGGACAAATGTCATGACAATATAAAACACTCTCTCCTACTAAACCCACCAAAATTAAAAGAGAAGGATTCAGCCCATCTGGAAGTAAATGCATTAATTAAATTGTTTCCATACAGTTAGCAGCAAAGCAAAGCCCTTCACCTGCATCATGAAGAGCAGTTCTTCCCTGGAGATCCACATTCTCTGTCGGACAATTGTACTGTTAAAATAAATAATCCCAGTTATCAAGCAGAATCCAGGCTGCATTTACAACATCAGGTGTTTGAGCTTTAAATTAAAGCAATAAAACGTGATTTAAGTAAAAAAATATGCACAAGAATTGCACAATACATTAGACTTTTCACAGATAACGAGCCTTTACAGCTGCATGGAGACATGCATCAATTAAAAGTTTAAAGAACCCATTTAAAATAACAAAAAAAAAAAAAAAAATCAAATGGGCATACACTGACCAGGAATAAATGAAGAAAAAAATAAAGATCACACAAACCTAAGACAATTCTCAAATGCTGTTTCATTAATGAGAGTTTGGGGCTATAAATGCCCAGCTTTTGAAGCAAACACTACTCTGGAGCAGGCAGTGTTGCTGTTTCTAAACAGACAGGGAACAGCAGTCTTTTAAAGATAGCCCCATTTTCTTCAAGAACCACAAACTATAAGTTGATTTGACAGTTTATGAAAAGATTTTAAAAAAAAAGTTTATTTTCATTATTTTAGCCTTCTTACAATCCCAACCTGGTATTTAGAATGAAAAGCTCTTTTCCCCAAGACTCTTATTTTTTTAAAAAGAATATTTTTATTTTAAAAAAGAATATTTTTTTAAATATTTCTTAAGAAAGAAATCCCATATCCTATTTTTGAAGCAGTGTATGTAAAGCCACCTTTCCCCCCTCAATATAAGAGACGAGCTGTATTTTCAGTACCTGCAGGAGCTTCTGCAAGCACAAAGCATGGCCATACTTGGCAGCCAAGTGCAGGGCGTTTCTGCCTGAAAACAGAGAACAGCAGCTCAGATTTGGGTCAGAGAATTCCTGAGGAGCATTCCCAGCATTTTAGATCCAACTGTCCCTGTAGATGTGTGCTCAGACATCTCTCTACACCTCACTTTGTTACAGCTCCTTTGTGAAATTCATCTCAAAATACTGCATCTGACTCCACATAAGGATTTAAAAAAATCAACTCTCCCATAAGAGGAGGAGGCCAAGTTATCTCTGTAAATTTTCTTATTCTCAGCTTCGTATTAAACCTATTAAATTCTGAGCAACAACCTGAAAATTAGCTGCTGTTTTTAACTGTCTCTTCCATAAGGTCTGCTACCACTCAAGGAAATCTGGAAGGTTCTGAGCTCCTGAGGCTCAGCTGGGCACACAAACACCTCCCACAGCATTCCACTGGATCCTCACCTCGAGTTCATTCAGAACTGCTCTTATCCTGCTGTTCTCACCCAGAAATGCTGATCTCACCAGCGAGTCTGGAGCACATTATAAACACAATTATAGCAGCACAAACCCACATTCCTTGAGTTCTGCTGCATTCATCAATTCCATGACAGGCCAGTTTCCTCCAGACCAGCAACCAGCCACACAGATAATTTGGTTTTTACCAGCTACAGAAAGAAGGAAGAGCTATCCTGTGGTCCAGCTTGACTTTATTTCAGGATGAAACCCAGCTGGGAGCATTTTCAGGGCCTGTGAGGAACCCACCTGCAGCATCAGTGGCTGTGATATCAACGCCGTGCACCAGGATGGTGTTCAAGCAATCCAGGTTTCCCTTTGATGCTACAACATGGAATCTAAAAAAGACAAAAGACCTTGCTTAGGCACAGCTGGTTTGTACACAAAAGTGGCAATATTGGCCAGGAAAGCCAAAGCAGCAGGGAAGTGCTGCAGGGGCCAGCTCTGGACAGCATCCAGAGTTAAGGGTTCTGCAAACATTACTTCAAGGAACAAGGCAAATTTCCTGAGGAACAACCATTATTTACCTGGATCAGTGAACCAGGTGAAATACCAGGGGGGTTTCAGTTTCCCTCTAACACTCAAACCTGGCAAGAGCAAGTGTTTAAGCACTCATCTCCACTCAAGTGAAGATTGTTTGGGAGTTTCCCTTTGCAGCCAGCTGGGCTCCAGCTCGGTGGAGCTGGATTACATGAGGCATTACACAGATTTCTGTAGCCAAGCAGGTTTCTGGAGCAGCAGGAGGATGATTTCCATACTCCAGAGCAGGAGGATGATTTTCAGCAGCCCCCAGCAGCATTCCCAGTCTCGGGAAGTCACTTACGCAGATCTCCCTTCCACGTCCAGCTTGGTGGGACTGACCCCCTTCTTGGACAGGATGGATGAAACCTTCTCCACATCGCCCCTCTCAGCTGCCTTCATCAACCTGTCATCGTACTTGCTCCAGTCTGGGTTCACCTGGGGGACAGAAGCACACGTGTGAGTTCATGGAGCACCAGGAGCCACCGGGGCTGAGCCACAACAAAATCCAAAATTGGTTTACAAACAGTGCTGTGCCCACCAGGACGTCTGGAGCTATTTGTGCAACAGCCCTGTCACTGTTGCTGGCATTGAACAGCGTGCAGAGCTCTGGGACAGCCTGGTTAAATCCCTTTGGTCCTAAAGGAGACCTTTAGGATCAGATTTCTTTGGTTTTCCTCATTCTGTTTCAGTTTGTCATATTCTGACAACAAATGGATGCACTAAAAATACACTCCAGGACATGGCTTTTCCTGGCTGTGCCAGACTGTTCACTGGGTCAGAAATTAGCTAAGTGTGATGCTCAAAGGAAGAACGGCTACTGACTGAGCTGCAGAAGGAAGAAATTCAAAGTTGATAGCTGGGAATTGCCTGCAGTTCCCAAAGCACTGTGGAGAACAGAGAAATCCCAAGCCAGTTATAAACAGACCACCACCACCCAGCCCCAGACAGCCCTCACCCCCCACTCCTCTCTTGTTTACTTCAAACTCAGAATTTCAGGCCCCAGGCCAAGCCTCCCATCCCTAAGTGCAGAGCTTGTTCTCTTCCCTGCCAAACCATCCCTCTGGACGGCTCAGGGCTTTTCAGGAACCTGCTCAGGGACAGAAACCTCACATCCACGCTGGACACTGATGGCTGGATATCCAAGGAGCTTTTAAGGGAAGAACAAGGCTTCCAGAGGAGTATTTTACTCAAAACAGGAGTGTAACATTCAAATCTAACTCTGCACAGCAAGAGGATTTGCTGGTGAGACACAAGCAGCCTGCGGGTGCATAAGTTACTTCTCAGTGTGGGTCAGAAATTCCTCACAACAAGAACATTAAACCAGGTAACCCCAGCCCAGGGTTTGTTTAAGTAAAAGAAGGTAAATAAAAAAGAACAACCCCAAAAATCCAGTGCCACCACCTGCACCTGCAGTGATTTGTAAAAGGGAGCTGCACTCATGATCAGAGAGACAGAGGGGATCCCATCAATCCACACAAATATCTCCAAGGGGTGCCAGAAGATGATTCCACACTGTTCAGCGGTACCCAGGACAAGAAGCAATGGCCAGAAACTAAACCACAAGAACTTCCACCTCAACATGAGGAAGAACCTCTTTCCCCAGAGGGGGCAGAGCCCTGGAGCAGCAGGATTCCCTCTCTGGAGCCATCCCCACCCCTCCTGGCCACGTTGTGTGCCACCTGCCCCAGGTGAGCCTGCCTGTGCAGGGGGCTGGCCTGCAGCATCCCCAGAGGGCCCTTGCAGCCATAACAACTCTGGGTGATAGTCTTCATCTGCTTTCCCACAATAAACAAGATTACTGTAATCACGAAGGCTTAGCAGCAGCTAACCCGGTCCAGCCCTGCTAGAAGTGACAGGAGTAATAAAAATAGAGCACTAATGAAATCAGCAGCAGTGCTGCCGGGCTGAGGTGCAGCACTGACTCATCAATCAATTAACACATCCATTAGCCCGAGAGCCAAGGCAGCCTGGCCTGAGAAGTCACTGACTGCTCTGGTGACACAACCAGTGCCATGTCCTCCCCAGCCTGGACAGGCTGCCCTGCAAAGCCACCTCCTCATGCAAGGCTCAGCTTTTCACGTCAAATACCTTGGGGACTGTGCATGCACAGCATCACAGCCTGTGCTCCCGAAATTCTCCTGGTGCCTTCCCATCCCGACAGGACAGGGATCTCACCTTGGGTGCTCACACTGGGGTGGGGTTGCTGGGTTGATACCCGCCAGCACAACTCACCCAAATGGACAGAAAATCCTCCCAAATCCTCCCCAGCCAGTCCCTGCTCCCATTTTATAAAAAGTTCTGATTTACAGAAGCATTACTTAAAAAAAAAACACCAACACTTCAGTCATTTGTACCCACGGCCTATGGTGCACTAAGTTTAAAAGGGGATGGAGAGACAGGACACAGGGAATCATTCCCAGTGCCAGAGGGCAGGGATGGATGGGATATTGGGAAGGAATTCCTGGCTGGGAGGGTGGGCAGGTCCTGGCACAGGTGCCCAGAGCAGCTGGCGCTGCCCCTGCATCCCTGGCAGTGCCCAAGGCCAGGCTGGACATGGGAGCAGCCTGGGACAGTGGGAGGTGTTCCTGCCATGGCAGGGGTGGAATGGGATGAGCTTTAGGATCCCTTCCAACCCAAACCATTCCATGATTAAATCATTATATATTTAACGAACACATTTCACACGTAGGAAAGATCCCTCGCAGGAGGAGCTGCTAAGGAGATCCAACACTCATCAATTAAACAGAACTACTACACCCCATTGGCACAATCAAACCTTTCACGTTTTTGCGGTAATTTTTGTAAATTCCTGCCGGGGTACAAAACCCCAGCTAGAGGTCCCAGATACCTACTGTGTCCTTGGCTGCACAGGAGAACCAACAAATCATGCTGAACTCGAGGTGCCAGGAGCCACCAGCCCGGTCACATCTGCCCCAGCTCACGGCGAGGAACCGCTGCCCTGCACCGCCCGCGGCTCCTCCTGCTCCATCCTCACTTAGCTCGGCTCCCCGAGGGTGCTCTCCCCATCCTCAGCATCATCCTCAGCCTTCATCACCCTGCGGCACGCAGAGCCGCGCTCGGTGCCGGACAGACGGACGGACAGACGGCGCTCAGGGAAATACCGCCCGGGCCCAGGAGCTGTAAACAACACGCAGGCAGCCTCACCAGTCCGATCTATTTTCTGATAAGGCACTACTTGATAGGCAGGCGATAGAAAGCAATAGCTATTAATACATTCCCGGCGTGCCCGCGCCCTGAGTCACGGCGCTGCAGTGAGCTCAGGGGCCAGGCACGTCCCAGCCCCGCAGACAGGCAGGCCAGCGCTCTTTGGAAATGACAACCACGCTCCTCCTCGCGGCCACGGGCACCCACACGGGGGAAGGTCGCTCTCAGCACCACTAATAACGCAGCAGGACCGAAATACTCCCCGCAGTAATTCCTTCCCCGTTCCGCCGCGCCGCAGAGCCGCAGCCAGACTCGGGCTCAGGCTTCAGACAGCCACAACCGCCGAGCAGATGGAATGCGTGATCCTATTTTGACAGAAATGTAACCCATTTTAAATTAGAAAACACACATGCCTCCGCTTTAAAAAAATTCTCCTTTTGCAGCGCTGAAACCCTTTCTGAATAAAACCTGGTTTCAGCTTACTGCTGCTGCCAGTCTGTCTCCCAACATGTGAAACGAGAGGAGTCACAGAGGCTGTGAAAACATTAAACAGACAGCACAATGATTAACAGGAGGGAGATGGAGAATCCCCTTTCACAAGTTTTAAATTTAAATGGAGAGCTCCCAAGTGCCATATTTAGAGGAGTAGGTCAACAAGACAAGCAACGCTCTGTTTTGTCTGCAGGAGAGAAACCTGGTCCGGGGCCAGGAAAACCACTTACACTCACCCTGGAGGACACACTCCAGGGGCTGCAAATAACCTAATAAATTGATCTTCTCAGCAGGGAATTTTTATATCAATCGCTCAGATTTGGGCAAATTCTCTCTTTCCCATAAGTTGTGACCTGTGCCCTCGTCCCCTGTGTGAGCACCAGCCTTCCCCAAAGAATGTTCCAGCATCTCTCTGCAATTAGCATCCATGTGACAAAGCCACTCCAAAAAAGCGCAGTGACTGTGTTGTCTTCTGACCACAACCAAGTCTGTCTCCTCAAGCTAAAAATGGATATTTTTCTGGGGGGAGAATAAATACACCTCCCAAGTGGCTGCAACAGAAAAGCCCCACTTGACCAAAATCAGTTTGGTGAGAAATGCAGGTAAGACTGTGGCTTCCAGGTGTTCATCCCAAAGGTTTTCCTTGTCTCCACCTCATCTCCCTGCTGACATCCCTCGTGTCTCATGAGCTGCACTCATCCTTGCCCATGGCAAGGGTGGGATGAGCTCTAGGGCCAGCTAACCCAGCTCAGAAATACCTGCTGTAACCCAAAGCAGCTCCTAAGCCCTTCCCAGCGAGCTGGGATAAAGCTGTGAAAGTGAGCCCAGCTCCTGCCACCGCAGGGCCAGGCTGATCCTGTCCCCAGCACAGCCCCGGTAATGCCATTAGCGGGTGACATAAGCACACGGGAGAGCAGAGAGCTCTGGGGACACTGCCAGCACCAGCACAGCTCACACACACTCAGCAGCCCTTCACAGAACCCCAGGAGCAGCTGGAAGGGATTTAAATCCCATCCCATCCCAGCCCTGCCATGGTGCTCCCAATGCCCCAGGTGCTCCCAGCCCAATGTCCAACCTGGCCTGGGAACCAGGGACCTCACCCTCTCCCAGTGAGGAATTTCCTCCCAGAATCCAACCCAAACCAGCCCTTTCAGAGCCAGGGCAGCTCACACGTCCCCCAGGCCCCACACTTTGAGTCCCTGCTCTTTCTCCAGAGGGCAGAGTTCATTTGTCATCAAACCCACATGGGGACAGACACACCCTGCCCTTTCAATGGCACACAGTGACAAAGGCTTTTGAAGTGCACTGACAGAATGAAAGGCTAAGTTAGATTAGAAAACTGGTTTTTAAAAATATTCCCCAGGTGCAGCTTCCCCTGCAGTGCAAGGGCACTGCACTAAACCCATCTCTCCTGAAGAATCTGGCTCGCCTGCCTGAAAAAATACTGCACATACTGGGTTAAACCCCACTGGGACGAGCAGAAATGGCATTTTTTGTATTTTACAAGCATATCTTACTTCCCAGGACATGTCTGTCCCCATGTGTAAAGGCTTTGGAGCGCCAGACTGCAGGGGTGGGATGTGGGTTTAGTCTGTGCAAGGGAAAACCAGACACAGCCTGAACACAGGGCTCTTGTTTCACCCTGCACCTTCCCACAGGCAGCACTTTGTGTTACCACCTCATTCACCAAAAATCCCCCAGAATAAAAAAGCCATTCAACGCCACAAAGTGAGCCAGGCTCAGCTCAAAACGGGATAAAAATCAGCAGTTCCCTTAGG